TATTGAATTAGGGCCCATGCTGATGACCTCAGTCACATCTGCAAAGACCCAATTCCAAATAAGGTCACATTCATAGGTACTAGGGACATAAGCCACAAGAGCACTATCCTCTCATTTTTCCCAGCTTTACAAGGAAACTTATCATATGTCCATAATTGTGAAGGTAGCTGAAAGGCTGTTTGGACAATGGAGAGTGGCTTTGGGAGGGGGACTGGAGGGTAGGAAATGACATGAAGAGTTTCTCAGCCTTCGATCTACCTCTAGCTTATTGATTGAGTTTGGACACTAAAATGAGTCCTTCTTGCTCATCTTTTGTGAAACCTGCTGCCCCACCTAGAGTGAGAAATGGAACACCACCTCTAGGTTCAGAGGGACAAGGCAGTCTGTGGCCTTGGTGACAGCCAGTGGGAAGTGTCAGTTCTCCAAGCTGCTCGCCGAGAGAACATCCATTGATTCACTCAACGAACACTTATTAAGCCCCTGAAATGTGCCAGGCACTGTTCTAGGTGGAAATAGAGTGGAGGATAAGAAAGACAAAAATCCTACTCTTGTGTACCTTGCCTTATACTAGGGGAGACAGAATAGATAAGTCACCAACTAAGTAATCATTTAAAGTAATAATAAGCACTATAAAATATAAAGCAGAGGAAGAGTGAGGGGGTGAAGTGAGAGCTTCTTTAGGCAGGTTCTCCCCCAGAAACTGTCATTTGAGCAGAGATTTAGGTCATGTAAAAAGTGAGCCATGCAAAGATTTATGAAAAGAACATTCCAGGTAGAGGAGCAGCAAGTGCAAAGACCACAAGGAGGGTATGAACTTGGAATGTCTGAGGAATAGCAAGAAAGCCTCTCTGGAGGGAGCAAGGGGCAGAGTGGGGAGAGGGAGCTGGAAAGGTGAGCAGACACTCGGTAAGATGTTTGGATTCCTTCAAAATATGATGGGAAAGTGCAGGGGGATTTTGAGCAAGGGAAAATGATCTGATACATGTTTTAAAAAGCAACTATGACTGCTGGAGGGCGACTGAGTTGTCAGGGGCAAAAGAGGAGGCAGAGAGAACGGTTTAGACTGCATGGCAGAAGACCAGGAAGGAGACATTGATGGATTGGAGGAAGATGGGGGTAGTGAGGGGTGAAGTGGTTGATTTGGGATTTTTCTTTAAGTGGTACTGACAGGGCTTGATGGCTTGAATGTGGGGGCATGGAGAAGGCAAGTCAAGGATGGCCTCAGGTTATTTGGTTGGGGTGCCTGGGGAAGGCTGGTGTTGTCTCCTTGGAAGGCAGCAGGAAGCAGGTTTGGGAGGAGGGGAAAATCCAAAGTCCTCATTTGGCCGAATTATAATTTTTTTTTCAGGATCATGAAAAGTTTTTTTGAAAAACAGCTTTATTGAGGTGCAATTCCTGTGCTATACAATTCACCCACTTAAAAGTGTATGGTTCAATGGCTTTTAGTGTATTGTAGATATCTGTGAGAGTTCTGCATCCGTCACCACAATAAACTTTATAGAAAATTTTTATTACCCCCAAAATAAACCTTGTGCTGCTTAGCTGTTACCTGCCAATCCTTCCTTTCCTTCCCCCCAGCCCTGGGCTACCACTGCTCTACTTTCTGTCCCTGTAGACTTGCCCATTTTGTATATTTTATATAAATGGACTCATATGATATGTGGTCCTTTGTGACTGGCTTCTTCCATCCAGTATAATGTTTCCAGTGTTCATCTGTGTTGTAGTATGCATGAGTACTTCATTTCTCTGTATTATTGAATAATATCCAAGTATATTTATTTATCCATTCACCATATAAATAAATTTGGGCTGTTTCTCCTTTTTTTGTCTATTATGAACATTTGTGTACAACTTCAAGTGTGGACATATGCTTTCATTTCTCTTGTGTATGTACCTAGGAGTAGAATTGCTGGATCATATGATATCTTTATGTTTAACTGTTTGAAGAGCCATTTTACATTCCCACCAGCAGTGTACAAGGATTCAAATTTCTCCACTTCCCTGTCAACATTTATTAATTATCTGTCTTTTTGATTTTAGCTATCCTAGTAGGTGTGAAGTGATAGCTCATCGTAGTTTGATCTGCATTTCCTAGATGGCTAATGATGTTAAGTGTATTTCCATGCATTTACTGGTTGTTTGCCCATTTTTAATTGGGTTATTTGACTTTTACTATTGAGGTATAATAGTTTAATAGATATAAATCTCAATCAGATATATGAGTTGCCAATTATTTTCTCCATTCTGTGGGTTGTATTTTCACTTCTTATGGTGTCATTTGAAGCACAAGTGTTTCCAGTTTTGATGATGTGGTCATATTACATTTAAGATGCCTAATAGTTGGTTATGTAAGCCTGGGGTTCAAAGAAGAGACAGGCTGGGGATACATAGTTGAGAATCGTCCATGTATAGACAGCACTGAAAGCCCTGAGGCTGGTTAAGAGCACAGGTAAGCGTGGCTGGAAGAGAAGAAGGCTGAGGTCTGAGGCTCACCAACATTTAGGCATCAGGAAGGAGAGGCAGAGGGGTGATCAAAGGAAGATCTTGGTTCCTGGAGAAGCCGCGGAGGAAGGCCGTTCAGAAGGACAGGGAAGACTTGGGATATGGCACCGGCCTAGCCAAGTCTCATCACTTCCTCCACTGAGCACAGGTCCCATGGAAATACCACAGTGTCAAGCACATACACAGCCATGTGGTCCCTTTGTTGCCACTACAGAAATTTGCTGGGCCTATTCTGTGAAGGTTACCTTAGCCTAACAGGTCTGCACACTCCAAGTCCCCACTCAAGAAATGCACTTATAGGAGATTGAAGTAGTTAGTTATCTAGGAAGATTTATGACCTTGTTGAGATTAACTCTTGTTACTGTTAATGGATGTGATGTTGCAGAGCTTTGACAGAACATATGTCTTGCTTTATTTTTTAATGGAACACTAAAAGCTTCAGCCCACAGGACCAACTCATTACACAGCAACTTTAAAATAGAGAGCTCTAAAGGCCTCACCCAGGTCTCCTTTTCTTTTTTTGGGGGGTCACTGTGACTTCTAGGGATTCGGGGGTTTCTGAGAGCAAGAAAAGGGCTTTTGAAACAACAGTTCACAGCCACTCGAGGCTGCTCCAGAGAAAAGATGGGTAGGGTTCTCACAACACACTTAACTCATGGGTGTCCTTGTTCACAGGCCAAGCCAGGAATCCTGTTTTCCACAAGATTTGTGATTTTAATGTTAGCTTTAGGTGTTACATGTTATAGCCAGAAGGAAAAAGTCCCGACTCTGTAATGAAAATGCATCAGCAAGGCAGACAGATGCCCTCTGGGCTTGAGTTGAATCCCAGAAAATTTGGAAAATCAGTTTAGCCTTGACATCAGTTTACCTCTAATCTTTCTACTCAGCTTCTGGAGTGCACATCAGCCTTCCTGGTCCCCTCCTTCTACCTCAGCTGCCAGGAGCTCAAAGTTACCTGCTTGTTCACTTCCTTTTCCTATCTGCAGAGGGACCACAATGTAAAAGGCCAAGTGGGACAGTGGCTTGCATACAGAAAAATAGGGCAGAGGTCAGAAGAGCATGAAGATAAAATCTTCTCTCTTTATGAGCTGTGCTACTTTGGTGGGCTTCCGTGGGGCTAGGGGGCTGTAGTTGTGCAGGGATGAGGAATATGGGAAGTGAGAGGGGGTACAAGAAGGAAGAAGCACAGATCTTTATTAGTGAAGAGTGGGAATTGGTTCCCAGGAAACGAGGGAGGGCTGTTTGGAGAAGTTTCCTTTTCCTCCTCTAGGATCCAGGCCGTATCAAAGGGGTGGGGTGGGCTCAGAGAGAAGGGCCTAGGGTAAGCAAGCTGGGGAGCTCTAAATCATGTGGGGCTCACATGGTATAAATCAGTGGTGCTGTCATCTCAGATTTCATGACTCTGCCTCCTAGTTATAAATAACATTCCTGGATAGCAGGGTGACAAACCTGGAAGATCTTTATAGGGAAGGCCTGGGTCAGGAAGGCAGTCACATGGATTGGGGAGGACTTTCCTCTGGCCCGAAAACAAAGCCCAGCTTTTCTCTTCAGGGAAAGGTGTTCTGGTGGAGGGAGGGTCCCAAAGAAACTGCTGGAGAAACCAAAATGTGACTATGAAAGGAGAGTAGGGCTTCTGAAAAAGCATCCAGAAAGTCACCAAGAAAAAAAATGATTAGAAATTTCCCCTATGTGGCAGCATTTGCCCTGCAGAACCGGAAGATTTGCAAATAGACGCCCTAAACCCCCACTGTAGCTCGCTTCAGTTTAGAGACCCTTCTTCTGTACCCCTTGCCTTAGCACCCTCTCCATGCACCCCAAAGCGTGTACCCAGTCAGAGGGGCCCACCGGAGCCAGGTGTTGAGCCGGGTGTTGAGCCAGGACTTAGCAATCATTCCCCCGAGCTCCCTACTCGCTCCTCCCCACCTAGTTGCCAGAGCAAATCCCGAGTAATTGTTTTCCGGGGAAGGGCTGGGCGCGCTCCGTGGCGCCGCCTCGGTCCCGGTTCCCCCAGGAAAAAAGCCCGCCCGTGAGAGCTCCGCGGTTCTTGCTCTCGGCCGGGATGAACTGTGGCAACTTCGGCAGCCCCCTCCACGACACCGAGGCGGCGACGGCGACAGTGGCCTGGCTAGCTCGGCGAGGCTGGAGCGCGTGAAGCCGAGCGGGCGCCTTGCGCCTCCCGCTTCTCCCTTTCGGCCGCGGGTCCCGGGACTCCAGCTCCCGTGCTCCGGTAGTAGCGGCTGCCGCCCAGGTCCTTGCAGCTCCGCGGGCGAAACAGAAGAACCAGACCCGATTGCCGAGCGCAACCTGCTGGAGTGGCCGAGCCCGGCGCTCCCGCCCCAGCTCCGAGGCGAGCGCAGCCGCAGCGGGGGCCGGGACGCGAGCCGGGAGCCGCAGCCGCCCGCGGTGGGGGGCGGGTTGGGGGCGGGGCGGCCGGGCCGCCTTCCCGGGCGCGATCCCCGAGCGCAGCACCCGGCGCTGCTGAGCCACCCCCTCCGCCGCCCGCCTGCAAGTTTGGCCGCTCTGAGCCCGGCGCTCCTGGACATCGAGGCGCATTTGTTTCCTCTTGGCTTTCGTGCGCCCCGTTTGGTGGGGACCCTCGGGAGCGATGCCGAAGGATGTGATTTTAGTTGTGTGGTTGTGTGTGTGCACCGCCAGGACAGGTAAGCACGGCTGGGGCGGTCGGAGGGATCCAGGGAAAACGGGGAGCCCGGTCTCTGTGCTCAGTGCCTACACCCGGCGTTGGGAGACCAAGAGCCGAGCTCCGCGCTGGTGCGGGGAAGGGCGGTGCAACGTGGATGGGTCCCTCGAATTTCTCTGCCCTGCTCCAGGTGAAAGGGTGAGGAGTGGAACTCAGGCTGGAAGATGCCCCAGATGGGGGGCCCCTTCCCCGGGGACACGGCCTCGCGGACACTAGAGTGAGGGGCACGGCCGAGGCCGGCCCACCCTCCTGCTGCTAGTAACCGGCTTCCGGGTCGAACCCACAGCAGGGCGGGCCCGCGAGCCCCACATCCCCGAACTTGGAAGGCGTGGTGGAAGCCGCTCTCCCTGCGCCCCGCCGGGCGGGGAAGGGTTAGCCGCGGGAGTCGCACCCGCAGCGAGAGCGCTTCCGGCCAGCGGGCGCGGCCGGGCCCCGGAGGGCACGGCGCGGGGTGAGGGCTGCGGGCGGTCCCCGGGATTCCGCGGGCTCTTTTCGTCCCCTCAGGACTCTCTCCGCAGGGGGAACTCCAGGAGTATTCTCCCCTCCCTCCCGCAGCCCCCTGCGGCTGGGCGAACAGTTATTCAGGGGAATGGGAACGGTGGAGACAATCCCGGGAGATTTTCCCCAGCGCCCGACCAGTTTTCCTTTGCTGTAATTGCAGTTTGGGGGCTGTGGAAAGAGGCCGAGGATAATTGGTGTGCTTTTCTGAAGTCCCCACCTCGCTCTGCTTCCAGAGATGCAGTTGTGAGGACTCAAAGCGCACCTCCGTCCCTCAGCTTCCGCTCGCCCCGAGTCCCCACGTCCCTGGGGTTTGGAGACCCGCTCTCAGCCCCCTTCTCCTAGGGGCTGGTAGGTGCGGGAAGGTGGGGATGGGTGGGGCGGAGTAGGAAATGGGCAAAAATACGGCTCTGCGAAGGGGGCTGGGGGTGGGAGTGCCGCGAGTTTTTATTCCTATGCTAGCCACCCTCGGCACGCGCCGCCAACTTCGCACCCCAGAAGTGCGGAGCAGTCATTCCCTTCCCCTTTTTTTTCGTCGTTTACCACTCTGTTTTCTTCTCTGGAGGCATAGCCTCCTTCCCAGGCTAGGCAGCAAGTTTATCCGGAGAGGGCTGGGCGGGGGGCTGGGCCTTCGCTCAAAAGTTCCCTCCGCTTGCGCCCCAGGCACCCCCTTTGGCAGTTAGTCCTCCCGAGGATACCTGAGTTGGGAGTCTCGGAGCTTGCTGTTGGCCCATCGCATTTCGCCAGGACTGAGAGGGCAGCAGCTTTCCCTTTGCTTAATGCAAGAGCGACGGGTGTGGACTACTTTAGGGACTAGGGGGATCCCCATCCGCCTCCTGTCTTCATCCGAGCTTCCCAGGCTTCGGAAGCACCAAGGCTCAGTCCAGCTTAGAACACTAGCTTCTTGAGTTCAGGCCTAGAGGGGTGGATTAGTCTTTTGAAAGCAAGAACACAGTAAAAGAAACGCGCCCCCTGAAGATAGGGACGGGCGAGGCTAGCGCAGAATATGGGCTACCAGCCCAGCGCAGAGAATCTGGTGCTGGTGGGCATCTTACCGAGGAACAGAAGACAGAGAAACTAGATGGGAGAGGCGCAGCCCATCGGTCATTACACATCCTCAAGTGCACATCACTACCGAATATACCTAAATCCTTTGTTCTCTTTGCTTCTTTGAAAAGTCTGCAAAAGTACCTCCATCCGGGAGTGGACTGAATCTACAGGGCACATTGCTTGTCATCTTTAAGAACTCGGTCTTTTCCCCTTCTCCACACCAAGACTCTTTAAATCTTGTGAGAATTCTGTTGTAGGAAGATTCTTTCATGTATGTATTGATTCAACAAGCAGTTGAGTGACTTGCTGGTTGCCAGGATTGCTTATGCAAAGAGGAAACAATTTGGTCTTTGATTTCCAAGAACTCAGAGCTTGGCTGAGGACTTAGAAACTGGAAAACCATTTTTATTCTATATTCTACATCTTGATTGGGAGTAGGTGGGGTGGGATTATTATAAGGAGTTCATGTTAAGGAAATACAGAGGAGGAGCCATAGGAATGAATCCTGGGGAGGGATGGTTGGTGGTCAGGGAAGGCTTTAATCAGGAGGTGACATTTGAGAGTTGTGTCTTGAAGGCTTTGTAGGGACTTCTCCAGGTGGACAAAGTAGGGAAAGCATTCCAGGCAGAGGGCACAGGCTGTCTTAAGGCAGCGAAGTGTGGAAGGGAGAGCTCCACGGGTTGTGGCAGTTGCTTAGGGAGCTTGCCTTTACTGTGCCACTTGGCACTACTTGAACATCAGAGGCTACATAATTTCTTCTACAAAAATTATCAGAAGAATCAGAGAGACAGCAGGGAATTATATCTCAATTCTTGTATTTACAATTTCTTGTAGCTCCCAGGGGCACGGTCAGCAGCTTTCTGGGGGCAGTCTCTTTGATTTTGCCAAAGAAATCTTTCCTGAATCACACATCCATCCTCTTAGGTGGCAGGGGCTGGCACGTGATTAGTTTTATCAGGATCCAAACAGCTGCTTGGAAAGTTTATTTGTCAAGTGGGACAATTGTTGTCTGGGTTGTTAAGAGTCCAAGATGGAATGAGCATGTGGTTCATTTAGTGAGCTGCTCAGATATCACCGCCTTTTAATGGAAATGAATAGATGATATCAGGCACGTTTTAATTAAAGCAGCACTGCAGTGCAGTAGTAGTTACATATGAAAAGATCTGATGATAGGTGTCACAGGAAGCTGCTTCAGAGAACTTGTTTTAGAGGATGAAGTGGAGTCAACATAGGAGGTGCTGTTCTCCAGTTCTTGTTACTTCTGGGTGAAATACAATTCTGGGCTTTCCAGTTATATTACTAATATTGAAAATTTAGAAGGCTGCAATAATAACAGTAATAACATATTATATCCATGGGTTTTCTCCAATGACTTGGAAGTGTGAATAACAGAAAACTCAATGATTACTTCCCCATGGCTTTCCAGCTTGTTTAGGTCACCAGGGCAGGGATGGAGGGAGCCCCTGGGGTCAGGTGAATGTCTTTTGCTACCACCTGCTGGAAAGGAGAGCTTTCCTATTAGAAGCACCTCCCAGGCTGTCCATTATCTATGAATTGAATAAGAGAGCTGTGAACAGAGCCCCCAGCCTCCAGGGATCATGAGCAATATTGACTGATTTGGCACAGACATACAGCATAATCTTTAAGGCTATTGCTTTTGTAGGAGTCCAGGAGACCAAATCTTATCAAGTGGTTGTGAAATCCTTCTGTTAAATGAGGTCTTGGAGCATTTCTCCAGTGTCATATTCCTTTGCATGGACAAGGGGAAGACAGCTGCCATCATGGACAATGAGCTGGATTAGTTTTGAAGTGAGCTGGACCCAGGAGGATTTGCTGGGAGCTAAGACCTGGGACCCTGATGGTAGACTGAGTGGGCTTTGCACCCAGGCAGGACTGAGGAGTGGCTAGCAGCAGCAGGTGTCCTGGTAGATTAGGATGGAGGTTCTGAATCCCAGAGCCAGGCCTGAAGTGCCTTTGTGACATTGACATACTGCCTTTCAGGTCTTAAAAAATATTCCTTCCCCAGAAGCTTTTTATCCTGCTTAATTCCAGCTTTAGCCATTTGTAGAGCAGTTATGGCCAAAGTAGAAAACTTTAATAGAGTTCCTTGGAAAGGGTAGGAGCTCCATGCTTGGACAAGAAGCAGAAACATCCAAATAAAAGTATTATTTTTATGGAGCCAACTCTCATACTACATAGAGTTCAGAAGAGGCCATGGAAGTGCTCTTTTATTAATAGATTTTTTGATTCCCTAGGGAGTGTACAAAGTTCTGTCTTTTACACATCCTGTTATTAGCATGAACCACTGTCATCCAGAAGGGGACCAATTAAAGGGAGAGAAAAAAAAACTACCTGAAAGCTAATTGATTTCTCTTATTCTGCTTTTATGGGATGTTTTCATAACAGCACCAGTAGTCATCATAAAGCCCGGGAAGCCCCTTCACTGTGGGTTATAAGAGGGAGGAGTTAATATAGATTTGATATATAGATTTCACAAAGCACTGTCAAGAGTGAGAAACCCTCTGTGTTAGTTGGTCATGTGGCGGGGTTTGGAGGAAGGGGGCCACCTGTACTTTTGCAATTCTAGTTGAGTTGCAGATCAGAGAGCTGGGATGTTCTGGAGGGCTGGTCTTATGCAGAGACACAGCAAATGCCAGCTGGGTACCATTTATGGGCTAAGAGTGCTCATTGAAACCTCATGAAGCTGGGAGGCAGGTGTTCCCATCCCCGTTTTACAGATGAGGGAACTGAGGCTCAGGGAAGTGAAGTGATTTTTCCAAGGGCACAGAATTATTGGGGACAGAGAAAGGACTGGCTCTTAGTTTAGTGTTGTCACCATGATACTTCCTGGAATGAGAGTACTGTGTTCTCATTTGGGGATTGGGGGCCAAGGGCACCATTGGGGTGTTCTGCCAGTTCTACAGAATCTGTTTGGATGTCTTTTAGGCTTGTCCAGTTGCAGGGCTCCTAGGGTGGGAGGTACGGGGTCTGAACAATGGCTGCCACAGTGCGTCTCTAGGCCCTGTGTTGATCGACAACTGCCAGAATTATATTACATAAGGAACTTACCCAGTGGCTTACAACAATGTTTACTTTGGTTCACATGTTGGTATGTTGGCTTGGTGTTGGCTCCTTTAGTTTTGGCTGGGCATGGTCCAAATTCCAGCAGGGTGTCTGTTCCACATGTCTCAGTGTCCTTGAACCAGTGGACTAGCAGGGCCATGTTCTTCTTGTTGTGATGCAGATGTACAAGAGAACACGCCCCACCACACAAGCACACTTCAGCCTCTGCTTGTGTAACTTCACTAATATCCCATAATGCAAACCAATTACATGGCCAGGCTCAAAGTCCAGGGATAGGGAGGTTACTCCCAATCTAGTGGAGGGAACTGCAGAACTCCCCAGCAGAGGGCGTGGATATGTAAGGGACAACGATTTGAAGCCAACAATTCAGTCAAACACAGTTCCTTTAGAAAGTGTCCTTGGCCCAAATGCCATCCTGTCCTCCTATGGTATCCCCAGATATGCATATTGCATATTGGGGTTGTAGTACCCACAGCAGTGATCACACATCCACTCATCCGTCAATTAACTCAGCTCTAAATTCAGGGCCTGCCATACCTTAGGCTCTGGGTAAGACACTGGCACAGAGATGCTTCCTTCCTCTTGTGTCTAGCTTCCCAAATTCCTAGCCAGAGAAAGACCAGTTTGGAGGTCCTCTGAGATCACTCTTGATATAATTTCTGCCATATAGGTGTAGAACACTATAGATCAAACTGAAATATTAGTTCCTCTCTGGCCTTTTCAAGGTGATCACAGAACTGCTGGTATCTGAGCTCACTTGAAGAAAAACATCGCCCAGTCTCAACCAGAGGCTTATGATGCTGTGACTTGGGCCAATGGATGCCTATTAGCTCAGTGCTTCTTTGCACAGAGTAGGCACTCGATCCATCTTTGTGAAATGAGTCTGTGTGAAGGATGAACAATGTTGGGCAGGTAGGATAGAAACATAAGGGAGATCATGAAATAAATCAGAATGTATCCCAGTCCTCCTCTCCTTAAACACACACCTGCAAGCCCTCCAGTGACATCCTGTTGCAATTAGAATAATATCCATCTCCTTCTTGTGGTTCACAAGGTGATGCTTACTTTTAGGCCTCATTTTCCACCACTCTCCCTTTGGCCACTCTGTTCCAGCCACACTATTCCTTGAACACACCAAGTTTATTTCTGGTTTGCATTTGCTGTTTTCTAAACCTGGAAAGCTTTCCCTCCAGATTTTCCATTGTTGACTCCTAATCTTTCAAGTTTTAGCTCAGAGGAACCTTCCCTGACCATCTTTTCTAAAGCCCCCACCCACATTGCTTTCTACCCCATATTCTGTGTTCTATTTTCTGCATAGCATTTATTGCCATCTCAAATTATATTACTGATTTGTATATTTATATTTTGGTTACTCCCTTCCCCAGGAATGGGTATCCAATGAGGACATAATCTGTGCCTAGCAATGTGTCTGTTACATAATAAGCACTCAGTAATGCCTGTTGAAAAAGTACTGAATGAATGAATGAATGCAGAATGAATGGAAGGAAGAATTGTCTTTGGGTAAACTGGTCTCATTACTGGCTGCATTTGGAAAGGGAACACTTCAGAGAACAAGAGGAAGCCTGACAAAAACTGAGAAGGCAGTTATATGCACCGTGTCTTTAATTAACCCTTTACTTTGGCCATGATGGACTTTGGCCCCCAGCATCTTCCCTGACCCACCTTCTGTTGACAAGAGCCTAGGTCACTGCAGCAGTTCCTGTTCCTCACAGGAGGAAAGTAAGGACAGGGCAGATTTCCTTTCCCAAATCTGTGGGGCAAGAGGTGAGGTGGGAGGACAGATAAGGCTGTAATAGTTCATGATGTCCTGATGAAGGTTCACTCAGTCTCCCTGGGACAAATTGGATGCAAGCTTTCCAAATTGTGCCTCAGCAAATGCATTACCGTCAGACAGAGTTGACAGCTGTTACTGATTAAAACATTTCCAACTGTGCAATCAGAATTGCACTATTGAGATGCTAAGTGTGGATAGACATAGTCTTTATGAATGGCTTAAACACAGTCCCTTAGAGTGATCTCTAGCCTTATTAATATATATAATTGGAAGTCACTTTGCAGTCATGAGTGGATCTTTCTACAAAACACCCACCTGGGTGAGAGAGCCTTAGAAATTTGTCTTTCTCAGACAAGGCAATAGAGAGCTCAGGGCCATGTTGCTTTGTGCTAAGGTTCTGCAGCTGAGTCGTCAGGGTATCTAACTTCTCATTCAGGAATGCCCTTGGATGGCAATGTACATCTGTCCTTCTGGGGATTCTCTGTTTTGGCTATCCTCTGCCACCTTTCTCCAGCAGGGAAAGGATCCCTCTCCATTGCCTTCTTCTTGTGCCTCTTAATAAGGAGCGCTCTTCACCACTGGTAGTGGTGGTGTCAGATTTTGCTTCTGCATCACGGTGTAAACCAGGTAGACTAGGGCCACAATCCTGCATCCATAGTCCCCAAATCCGAGAAAGATTGGGTTCTTCATAACTCACCTGACAGCAAAATCTACCCTAACTGAACTTGGTGGCAAAACTTGATCTCAATTGATATGAAGTTATTTATAGTCTCTCTTTAGCCAATTAGAGGAAAATGTTATACATTTTGCTCCAGAAATACTATATTTGATTTTGGGGTACCATTTGGATGTGGTTGAAGGTGTCACATTAAATGTAGTACATAGACATATACACGATGGAATATTATTCAGCCAAAAGAAGAAAACAAATCCTGCCATTTGCAGCAACATGGATGGAGCTAGAGGGTATTATGCTCAGTGAAATAAGCCAGGCGGAGAAAGACAAGTACCACATGATTTCCCTCATTTGTGGAGTATAAGAACAAAGCAAAACTGAAGGAACAAAACAGCAACAGATTCACAGACTCTAGGAAGGGACTACGGTTAACAAAGGGGAAGGGTGGGTGACAGTGTGTGGGGGAGGGAGGGAGAAGGGGATTGAGGATTATTAGGGTTAGTACACATGGTGTGTGTGGGATCACGGGGAAGACAGTGTAGCACAGAGAAGACAAGTAGTGACTCTAGCATCTTACTACACTGATGGAGACTGACTTCAGTAGGGTATTGGGGAGACCTGATAATATGGGTGAATGTAGTAACCATAATGTTTTCCATGTGAAACCATCATAAGAGTGTATATCAATGATACCTTAATAAAAAAAAAGTGTAGTATATAGGCCATATTACCTTTCTAATGTATGATACATTCTGAATGTGAAATTTTTTGGCCCTGAGAGTTTTGTATAAGGGATTATCAATCTGTAATGAGTGGGGAGTTGGGGGGAAGGAACGGACAAAGAAACTACAGTATTTTTGGTGATGGAGCAAAGAGCCACCTTCTTTGAGCCCCCACGCACTCCCCACTGGCTTCCTTATATTCCCTGCCACTCTTAACCGCTGTAATTTCTGCTCCATATTGCTGCTAGCAGTCAACAGTTTAAGCCAAGCCAACTCTGTTCATTTTCAGTGCTGGGCTTTGGCATGGATCCTGACCTTCAGATGGATATTATCACTGAGCTTGACCTTGTGAATACCACCCTCGGAGTTACTCAGGTGTCTGGACTGCACAATGCCAGCAAAGCATTTTTGTTTCAAGGTAAGGTCCCCCTTCCTCTGCATGGGGGCAGGGCTTGGGGAGGAGGGTCTGTCTGGGGAGTGTTCACCTGCCATTATTTGTCAGAGGGTCATATCTGCTATTTTTCTTGTGTTACTGTCACAAGGAATGTTCAGAAATATCAAGGATGTTCAGATATTTGGAGGGTGTTCGGAGGGTGCGAGAGGGGGCACTAGAGGGCATGGTGGTGAAATATTTGGTCTGGCACTGAAATATTTCCCAGGGATTTTGGTGGAATGAAATGGCAAAGTCCTTGAAAGCCACTGGCCAGCTGTATAATTTTTACAGGATATTTCTTCAACTATTGCCTGTATCTTTACCTATACCTGCGCCTGTTCTCTTATCATCTGATGGGTAGACACCTCTTACGTCTTTCACCTGATGGGTAGACTGTGATCACAGAGGATGTTTTATGGCTGCGTTCTCTTAGAGGGGCGCAGCTTACTTGTTTGCGCCCACTCTAAACTTCACTACAATTTATTAAATCTTCAACCAGCGTTCATGAAGGCAGTATAGTGCTCCTTAAAAGCATGGGCTCCAGAGCATGAGTGCTTGGGGTCAAATTCCTACCCTGCTTTGAGACTTCAGGCAGTTGCTTAGCCTGCGTCTGCCTGTGTCCTCATCTAAAATAATAGTACCTCCCTCATGGGGTCTTTACAAGGATTAGAGGAGCTCATTCACTGAAGTGGTTAGAACAGTGCCTGATACATAGTAAGTCCCCAGTAAGTACTAGTTAGTGTTATGAAACTCCTACTATGTACCAGGCAATGTTCTGAGAGTAGGGTTACCAGTAAGAGTGAATGAGATAGGTTGCAGCTTCTGCTCTAAAATACACTGAGGGAAACAGTCATGACACAAAGATTATCAAATTATATTTGCTATACTTAAAATGAAGGGGATATAGAAGCTGCCAAATAAGCATAGTATAAGGAGATCATCTGATTTAACTGGGGTGGAGAGATGATGCTGGTCAGGGAAAGGCTACCCTAAAAAAGTGATGTGTCAGCAGAGATTTGAAAAATGAATGGAAAACCTGGCGTAGGTAGGGGTACAGTTCAGAGCATTCTGGGCAGAAGAAATAGAGTGTATGAAGTTCTTAAGGCAGTAACCAGCAGAAGGATGTCTAGCATGGCTGAAGGGGGGTGGGTAAATGGGAAGAAAGGCCGGGGATACGTTATGTTGGACCCTGTAGACAGAATGGGTTTGGATGTACCGATGACTTATGGTTAATGTCTATCCTGCTGTGTGAGAGGTCATGCACTTGCTAACTACTGTAAATATTACCCCAGCCTGTAGTCACCTTAGTGGTTTTGTAATATCGTAGTCAGGCAGCCTGCATGTTCCTTTATGAAGTGCCTGGGAAGGGTTCTTTTAACCCAGCCTTTTTTTTTTTTTTTAACTCAGCCTTTTATAAAGATAGCAAAAGGATTATTTTAGAATGATCCACATTATGGGATGCAATTTACATATTTACTGGGCAGATAACTTAAGCCTTGTTAATAGTATGTAACAAATCTACATATATATGTAATAATATATATCATGACTATGGACATGTTAACTTCCACTTTACCTAAGGAGTTGGTGAAGTATGTAAGCTGGGTATGGGTCAGAGAATACAGACTGGATTACTTTCTCTTTGCATTGTGCAAGTTCTGCCCAGTTACCGTTGAGAAGCCATGCCATTCTTGATCTGAGCACCATGGCTGAGATCTTGTCAACAGAGTTGCTCTGGAAGCCTGGCTCAGCAGAGAGCTTCACGAAGGCAGATGTCATGCCTATCTAGATACCCTACATCTCTAGGACAAAGTATTGTCCTTGGCACAAAGTAAGTGATAGATAAATATTTTGAATTGAATTAAAATCTCCTCAGTTGTGCTCCCTGAGAGGCTTATTGCCTGCTTTACTCACTGTTCACTCAGTTATTCCACAAATGTGGGCTTTCTGGGCTAGAACTCTGCTAACTTGGGTGTTCTTTGCTTTGGAAAGTACCTCTGGGATATCTGGTGGACTCTAGCATTGGGGAGGGGTTGTCAACTGTTTTGGTGGGAAGAATAACTTCATTATGGGAGTTTGATTGGGGAGGGCTTTGTTTTATAAGGACCCTGATGGTTACATTTGGCTTACCTGGATAATACAGGATAATCTCTCCACCTCAAGATCTGTAATTTAATTATATCCCAATGTCCCTCTTGCCATGTAAGGTACCATATTCACAGGCTCTTGCAAGTAGGACATGGACATCTTTAGAGAGATATTATTCTGCTTACCACAGAGGCTGCACTTTGGCCCCTAAAGATTCATCTCTGTCCCACATGCAAAATATACTCGACATGTCTCAATATCTCCAAAAGTCTCAACCCATTAGAGCCTCAGCGTGGAGTCTAAAATCTTATCTAATATCATTAGTTGAAACATTATTTCATTATCTAAATAATCTTAATCAGTTAAGCTTGAGACTCTTATGTGTGTTATTGTACAGTTGGGGGCAACATTCCTTGCGCTCTCTGGATCTGTGATACTAGAGAACAAATAGTCTAATATATGATAGTGGGACAGGTATAGGATGCTGGTCAGAGACATTCTTGTTCATAAGGGAAGAAATGGAAAGAAGATAGGGGTTACTGGTCCCAAGAAAGTTTGAAATCCAGCAGGCAAACTCCACTGGGTTTCAAGGCCTGGGAATAATTGTCTGTGGTCTTTGATTCTGCTTTCTGGACCCGTTTCTCATTCCTTTGAGTCATTCTTCCTTTGTCACCGACAGTAGCATGTGTTTATAGTTGAGCAGTTTCATCAGTTTGTTTCCGGCCTGTGGAGTTTTTGTAGTCTGTTAGCATACTTTCTGTCCTCTTCAGTCTAAGTAGGTGGTGTTTCTGCTGATATAACTTTCTTAAGAAATTTAAGGGTTTCCTGTCCATTATGCAAGAGGTTCTCTCTCAGATAATCCCATTTCTATTCCTGACTTCTGCAGAGATGGCTGAGAGGATCTATGAGTCACACACCTGATCTCACAGAGCCCTCTGTGTGATTGAATATTCTGACCTTTTGATTCTTCATAGACACTAACAAAAGGATGTTCAGCCACACCCTTGGCTTTCTCTCCAGAGCAGATTTTCCTGACAGTGAATCTCCTAGTTTTTCCCTGGTTTTTGCTTCATAGCTCATCCCTCAGTCTCTCTCTTTCCTCTCACATTTTGTGGTAAGCAGCAAGGAGAAATCAGGCTGCACCTTCGATACTTTTCTTAGACAAATTACCTCAACTAAATGTCAAAGATCGTGTTTTACAAGTTTTGCTTTTCATGTGACTACAGGACACAATTCAGCTAAGCTTTCTGCCGCTGTGTAATGAGGATCCTGTGTTTTCTAGTTTCCAGTGAGATGTTCCTCATTTCTTTTATAGTGCTCACCAGCAGTATTTAAACAAGCATGTTGAACAGGTTAACCCCCATACTTCTACTAACAATCTGCTCACAATGATTTATGTATTCTCTAATATAGTAGAGGTTTTCTCCACAGTGATTCTTTACTTCATTCTGAGTCCTCTCTAGCAGAGTCCTTAATATCCAAATTTTTACTAACACTAGGTTCAAGGCAACCTAGGCTTTTTTTATCCAGCTCCTTAATAGTTTTTCAGCCTCTGATCATTACTCAATGCCAACATCACTCCAACATTTTAAGTTATTTGCTACAACAGCACCCCACTTCCAAATACCAAAATCTGTATTAGTTTCTATTGCTGCTGTAACAGCAATAGAAATAAAATAAAATAAAACAAACTTACTATCTTAGAGTTATGGAGGTCAGAAATCCAAAATGCACTTTAGGGAGCTAAAATCAATGTTGGCAGACATGTGTTTCTTCTGGAGCCACTGCAGGATAATCAGTTTATTGCCTTTTCCTGCTTCCAGAAGTTGCTATACTCCTTGGCTTGTGATTATGTCACTCCGTCCTCTGCTTCTGTTGTCACATTTCCTTCTGTCCCTCTGCTTCTGTCCCCCTACTGTCTTCTCATACACTGACTCTTCTTCCTCTTTTTTTCTCCCTTATAAGAACCCTTGTATTTATATTGGCTCACCCAGATGATCCAGGATAATCTCATCTCAAGATCCATGACTTAATCACATCCACAAAATCTCTTTTACCATGTAAGGTAACATATTTACAGTTTCTTGGGATTAAGATGTGGACATTTTTTTTCTGTGGGGGCAGGGACATAATTGTGTCTAGCACAGGATGGCTACTCACTATTGGGCAGAAATATGAATGTTTCCAGTATACTCCAAATATGTCCTCCTTTCTGATGCAACACTGTCCAATGGAAATATAATGTGAGCCATGTCTTTAATTTCACTTTTCATAGTAGTTGTGTTAAACATGTAAAAAGAAGCAGGTAAAATTAATTTTAATTATACATTTTATTGAACTCAATATACAAAATTATTATTTCAACATATAGTCAATACCAAACGTTATTAATAAGACATTTTACAAAGTCTTCAAAAATCTAGTTTATATTTTATACTGAAAAATGTAGTGATTTGGACACTAAGTTTTCATCTGAAATGATTCATCTGTATTTAGATTTCATGAAACTGAAAGTTGAAAAAGTAGATTTGCCAAGTTATGCCATATATATATTTATTTATTTCCACTTTATTATTATTATTTTTTATTGAGGTATTATTTATATACACTCTTATGAAGGTTTCACATGAAAAAACATTGTGGTTACTACATTCACCCATGTTATCAAGTCCCCCCCAAATCCCATTGCAGTCACTGCCCAACAGTACAGTAATATGCCATAGAGTCACTATTTGCCTTCTCTGTGCTACACTGTCTCCCCCATGATTCCCCCACACCATATGTGTCAATCATAATACCCCTCAGTCCCCTTCTCCCTCTCTCCCCACCTGCCCTCCCCCACCCCTCCCCTTTGGTAACTGCTAGTCCCTTCTTGGAGTCTGTGAGCTGCTGCTGTT